CTGTCATTCGACTGAGGTGTACACATTTACTACAACAGGATAAACTATTTTTTTTATTTTAGCTAAATAAGGCCCACTATAGCTACTTTTCAGAAGTGACCTGGCCACAAATGATAGCTCAACGAAGTGGCTTATCACGTGGAAATTTAATGCAGCCAAATAAATACTGTAAAACGCATGTTTCTAAATATGGAAAGAAAACCCGAAAAACCCGGAGACAAAATCCACGCGACCACGGGGAATACACGAAAACTCCACATATACTACAGCCATCAGGGTCGGGGTCGAACCCACGACCTCCTGTATACCGGGCGAGGTAGTTAACATCTCGCCACCGTGACGCAGCACCCGATTCAAGAGCCGAATGGCTCACAAGGCTATACCTAATAAATAAACTTGAAGTTGAAACTGTGGCTGGCTTTCAGAAACGTGTCTCATGCTTTAACTGCCGCGCAGGGAGATCGAACACGCCACCTCTGGATTGCAGGTCCAGTGTGCAAACCGTTATATATACCATGGCAGCATCCTTTCGTACGGTACATGATATGACATTTCCGCATTAAAAACTATGGTTGGAACTATTAATCGATTATTACCAATTATTACGCTCACATTACAGTCCCTGGGTTGCAGAAGACCCAACTTACGGATATCCGACCTTATGGAAATGCCCCCCCCCCCCCCCATGAATTACGTTTAAAAAATTCAACACGCGGAAACTTTTGCGTTAATTAGTTACTTCAGCGGGCAGCCGCCTTACACCGTCTCGCTCGAGTTTCACTCGGATTAAGGTCAATGGAATTTATCTTTGATTTCAGGGACGGAAATTTGTTCGGTTTCCGACATACGTAAAATTCGGGTTACGGAACGTAACCCTTGCGTAACCCAGGGCACTGCCTGTACATGGAATTCGTCACGATCGTGCGTCTTGAACATCGCTGCATTTCCATTCGTATGTCGCGTGTGAGCTCCAACGCATTCAGGTCACACCTACTGCAACTCGAGGCCTGCTACATTCACCAAATATGTGTACGGTGCGGTGGGCGGAGGAGGGGGGGAGAAATAATTATAGAATCGAGAAGAGAAAATTCGTGACAATTTATCGAATTGATTTTCACTTGGTGACCCATTGAATGTTTTTAAATGCAGTGTACACGATTAACTACCAGATATAGTTAATAATTACTTTAGTCTGGCGAGGCTGACGTGGGTGGTGAGTGTCTGGTGAGTTGTATAGGTTAGCGCGCGTGGTGAGTGGTGGTGAGTGGTGGTGAGTGGTGGTGAGTGGTGGTGAGTGAGTGAATGTCAATGTAAATTGCGAGTGGTGAATGTATCGTGTCTGATGAATGAGCGAGTGTAATAGATTATTTGGAATGGTGATTGTGATCCGGTGAGGCGTCAGGTGAGTGGTTGTTCAAGTGGTGAGCGTCAAGGTGAGTGGTGAGGGTCAGGTAAGCGGTGATCACTTCTCGCGATGACGAGATGATAACAGCTTCGTCTGATATGATGATGATGATGACTCCTGCGTGTATTTATTTCGATTTAAAGCTTTCGTGACTGCAGGGATTCATCTTCTTGGTTCTTTCGGTAAAGTCACGTAGAAGGGAAGTAATAACCTGAGGACGGCTGCTTGCGTTGTGGCCGAAACGTCGTGAGAATTGTTTTATTATGTTTTATTTTTTATTATTTTATTACTTCCCTTCTACGTGACTTTACCGAAAGAACCAAGAAGATCCTGCGTGTATATTTATAATTTCTTTGTCTCTCTCCCGCTCCCCGTGGTCGCGTGGATTGTTCTCCGGGTCCTCCGGTTTTTCCCTTCCACATTTAGAATGAACTTCACGGCGTTTAGAGTAATTGGCTCCGCTGTAAATTTCCACGTGGCGATAATCCACGTCGTCGTTGAGCTATAATTAGTGATAGCCCAGTCGCTTCTGAAGAAAAGAGCCATAATGCCCAGTTTGGGTCTTATCTGGTAAAATAGTTTAAAGGTGAGGTGAGTGGTGAGGGTGAGGGTGAGTGGTGAGTGGTGAGGTGAGTGGGGAGGGTGAGGTGAGTGGTAAGGGTGAGTGGTGAGTGGTGAGGTGAGTGGGGAGGGTGAGGTGAGTGGTGAGTGTCAGGTGAGTGGTGAGGGTGAGGTGAGTGGTGAGGGTGAGGTGAGTGGTGAGGGTGAGGCGAGTGGTGAGTGGTGAGTGGTGAGGGTGAGGTGAGTGGTGAGGGTGAGATGAGTGGTAAGTGGTGAGGGTGAGGTGAGTGGTGAGGGTGAGGTGAGTGGTGAGGGTGAGGTGAGTGGTGAGGGTGAGGTGAGTGGTGAGGGTGGGGTGAGTGGTGAGTGTCAGGTGAGTGGTGAGGGTGAGGTGAGTGGTGAGTGGTGAGGGTGAGGTGAGTGGTGAGTGGTGAGGGTGAGGTGAGTGGTGAGGTGAGTGGTGAGGGTGAGGTGAGTGGTGAGGGTGAGGCGAGTGGTGAGGGTGAGGTGAGTGGTGAGGGTGGGGTGAGGTGAGTGGTGAGGGTGAGGTGAGTGGTGAGTGGTGAGGGTGAGTGGTGAGGGTGAGGTGAGTGGTGAGTGTCAGGTGAGTGGTGAGGGTGAGGTGAGTGGTGAGGGTGAGTGGTGAGTGGTGAGGTGAGTGGTGAGGGTGAGGTGAGTGGTGAGGGTGAGGCGAGTGGTGAGGGTGAGGCGAGTGGTGAGGGTGAGGTGAGTGGTGAGTGGTGAGGGTGAGATGAGTGGTGAGTGGTGAGGTGAGTGGTGAGGGTGAGGTGAGTGGTGAGGTGAGTGGTGAGGTGAGTGGTGAGGGTGAGGTGAGTGGTGAGGGTGAGGTGAGTGGTGAGGGTCAGGTGAGTGGTGAGGGTGAGGTGAGTGGTGAGGGTGAGGTGAGTGGTGAGGTGAGTGGTGAGGTGAGTGGTGAGGGTGAGGTGAGTGGTGAGGGTGAGGTGAGTGGTGAGGGTCAGGTGAGTGGTGAGGGTGAGGTGAGTGGTGAGGGTGAGGTGAGTGGTGAGGTGAGTGGTGAGGTTAGTGGTTAGGTGAGTGGTGAGGGTGAGGTGAGTGGTGAGGGTGAGGCGAGTGGTGAGGGTGAGGTGAGTGGTGAGGATCAGGTGAGTGGTGAGGGTGAGGGTGAGCGGTGAGGGTCAGGTGAGTGGTGAGGGTCAGGTTAGTGGTGAGGGTGAGGTGAGCCATGAGGGTGAGGTGAGTGGTGAGGCGAGTGGTGAGGGTGAGGTGAGTGGTGAGGCGAGTGGTGAGGGTCAGGTGAGTGGTGAGTGGTGAGGTGAGTGGTGAGGGTTAGGTGAGTGGTGAGGGTCAGGTGAGTGGTCATGTGAGTGGTGAGGGTGAGGTGAGTGGTGAGTGTTAGGTGAGTGGTGAGGTGGAGGTGAGTGGTGAGTGGTTAGGGTGAGGTGAGTAGTGAGGGTGAGGTGAGTAGTGAGGGTGAGGTGAGTAGTGAGGGTGAGGTGAGTGGTGAGGGTGAGGCGAGTGGTGAGGGTGAGGTGAGTAGTGAGGGTCAGGTGAGTGGTGAGTGGTGAGGGTCAGGTGAGTGGTGAGGGTCAGGCGAGTGGTGAGGGTGAGGCGAGTGGTGAGGTGAGTGGTGAAGGTGAGGTAAGTGGTGAGGGTCAGGCGAGTGGTGAGGGTGAGGTGAGTGGTGAGGGTGAGGTGAGTGGTGAGTGGTGAGGGTCAGGTGAGTGGTGAGGGTCAGGCGAGTGGTGAGGGTGAGGCGAGTGGGGTGGGTCAGGTGAGTGGTGAGGGTGAGGTGAGTGGTGAGGGTGAGGTGAGTGGTGAGGCTGAGGCGAGTGGTGAGGGTGAGTGGTGAGTGGGGAGGGTGAGGTGAGTGGTGAGTGTCAGGTGAGTGGTGAGGTGAGTGGTGAGGGTGAGGTGGAGGTGAGTGGTGAGTGGTTAGGGTGAGGTGAGTGGTGAGGTGAGTGGTGAGGGTGAGGCGAGTGGTGAGGGTGAGTGGTGAGTGGGGAGTGTTAGGTGAGTGGTGAGGTGAGTGGTGAGGGTGAGTGGTGAGGGTGAGTGGTGAGGGTGAGGTGGAGGTGAGTGGTGAGTGGTGAGGGTCAGGCGAGTGGGGTGGGTCAGGTGAGTGGTGAGGGTGAGGTGAGTGGTGAGGGTGAGGTGAGTGGTGAGGGTGAGGTGAGTGGTGAGGCTGAGGCGAGTGGTGAGGGTGAGTGGTGAGTGGGGAGGGTGAGGTGAGTGGTGAGTGTCAGGTGAGTGGTGAGGATCAGGTGAGTGGTGAGGTGAGTGGTGAGGGGGAGGTGGAGGTGAGTGGTGAGTGGTTAGGGTGAGGTGAGTGGTGAGGTGAGTGGTGAGGGTGAGGTGAGTGGTGAGTGTTAGGTGAGTGGTGAGGTGAGTGGTGAGGGTGAGTGGAGAGGGTGAGTGGTGAGGGTGAGGTGGAGGTGAGTGGTGAGTGGTTAGGGTGAGGTGAGTAGTGAGGGTGAGGCGAGTGGTGAGGGTGAGGTGAGTGGTGAAGGTGAGGTGAGTGGTGAGAGTCAGGTGAGTGGTGAGGTGAGTGGTGAGGGTGAGGTGAGTGGTGAGGGTGAGGTGGAGGTGAGTGGTGAGTGGTTAGGGTGAGGTGAGTAGTGAGGGTGAGGTGAGTGGTGAAGGTGAGGTGAGTGGTGAGGGTGAGGTGGAGGTGAGTGGTGAGGGTCAGGCGAGTGGTGAGGGTGAGGTGAGTGGTGAGGGTCAGGTGAGTGGATGTTTGGTTCGGGTCATCGCTAGCAGCACTTGTCCCAACAGTTCGTGAAGGCTACACGGGTGCTTTTGTCTTTGGAGGTGTGAAGAGAAGAGGGGGGGGAGGGGTAAGAGGGGGGGTAAGAGGGGGAGGGGTAAGAGGGGGGGTAAGAGGGGGGGGGGTGCGGGGGGATGAGGGGGGAGGGTGTGGGGGGAGGAGGGGTGCGGTGGAGGATGAGGGGGAGGGGTGCGGGGGATGAGGTGGGGATGAGGGGGGAAGGGGTGGGGGGGATGAGGGGGGAAGGGGTGGGGGGGATGACGTCACGCCATGACGCGCCACGCGCCGAAGCAATTTCCTGCCCCGTGTTTGTGGCTTGTGAAGGTGGCGACAATCTTCGTTCTCTCTCTCTCTCTAGAGCGCAAAGCACCAAACTTAGTGGCCCATCGGAGTGCGCCAGCGAGCGAGCGAGTGAGTGGGACACAATACGAGCCGCTAAAGTTAACACTCCCTCTCTCTCTCTTCCCCAGGGAGTCTCAACAACCGGAGTTTATACGCCCACGTTGTTGTTGGTGGTGGTGGTGGTTGTTGTGGTTGGTGGTGGCGATGCGGGGCCCCTGTAGGGAGGGCAGCCTAAGGCGCAGTGGTGGAGCCGTGCTCCGCTAAGTCCGACACTTTGTAAGAACTTTATTTTATATATTTATTCGTCCGCGTGTGTGTCCAAACACACGCTCGTACGAGTTTTAAACAAGGTTTGTTTTTTCACTTCTTCTCGCCTTACCACACAACAACAACAACAACGTTTAAGATAAACAAGCTTAGATATTAGAGATGTGGCCGAATCCCAACACGTCGCAACAGCAGCAGCAGGCAGCAGCAAGGGCCTCCGTCGTGTTCAAGAGGAATGCCATCACAGACGACTACAAAGTGTCGGCCCAGGTGCTGGGGCTCGGAATCAACGGCAAGGTTCTGATGGTGACCAACAAGAAGAACGGCGACAAGTACGCGCTCAAGGTACAGCTGAATTGATAGCTAACACACACAACTACACACTCCTATACACACTTATACACCTACACACAACTATACACACTTACACATACACACAACTACACACACGCTTACACACTTACACACCTACACACAACTATACACACATACACACCTATACACACACCTATACACTTACACACACTCCTATACACACTTATACACCTACACACAACTATACACACACTTATACACCTACACACAACTATACACACACACTTATACACCTATAAACCTATAAACCTACACACAACTACACACACGCTTACACACTTATACACCTACACACAACTATACACACACACTTATACACCTATACACCTACACACACTTACACATACACACCTATACACACACCTATACACTTACACACACTCCTATACACCTATACAACTATCTACCCACACACCTATACAACTACCCACACACCTATACACACACCTACCTACACACTTATACACATACCTACCCAGACACCTATACAACTACCCACACACCTATACACACACCCACATACCCACCCACACACCTACCCACACACTTATACACATACCTACCCAGACACCTATACACACCTACACACACCTATACACACACCCACATACCCACCCACACACCTACCCACAAACCTATACACACACCTACCCACACACTTATACACATACCTACCCAGACACCTATACAACTATCTACCCATACAACTACCCACACACCTATACACACACCTCCACACACCTATACACACCTATACAACTACCCACACAACTACCCAGACACCTATACACACACCTCCACACACCTATACACACCTATACAACTACCCACACAACTACCCAGACACCTATACAACTAACTACTCAGACATCGATACACACACCTATCCACACACCTACCCACACACCTACCCACACCTACCCACACGCCTATACAACTACCTACACACACACCTATACACACGCCTATACAACTACCTACACACATACCTACCCACATACCTACCCACATACCTACCCACATACCCCACACGCCTATACAAATAGTGGACATACCCACCTAACTACACATCTAACTACTTTTTCACAAACATAACTATACACCTACCTACCCACACACCTATACACCTACTCACACGCCTATACAACTACCTACCCACACACCTACCTACCCACATACCTATACAACTAGTGGACTTGCCCACCTACCAACACATCTAACTACTTATTCACAAACATAACTATACACCTACCTACAAAAAACAAAGATGCCCCGTATAGACTTAACAGACTGTAGGGGCAAGTGCTGTTAACGAGCACCTATGAAGGCCGACGGGGTGGGTGGCCAACACCACGCCCGACCGCCTTTGTCTCCCCAGTCATGCTGTTGACACACCGCACCGGGTACTCATTTGAGGCTGAGTCGACCTAGGGGAGGCCCAGGACCGATTCAGATAATCGTCGCCGGTGTTGGCCCTGAGCTGGAATCGAACCGCTACACCACCGCTCCGCACAACACCTACACACACACATCCACATACCTTCCTACTTATATACACACGAACCCACTAACCCCTATAACTACCTACTTGCACATCTAACTACCTATCCACACACTTACCAACACACCGATCTGTACACCTAACCAACTACGTACGCACCCCTATCACTCTACATACCCACATACCAAGCTACACAAAACCAATTCAAATTCCCAACTACCTACTCAACTACCCACCAACACTCCCACATACCTACCCACACACCTACCCACACACCTACCCACACACCTATCCACACACCTATCCACACACCCACATACCCACCCACACACCTATCCACACCTATACACACACCTATACACACCTATACATACACCTACCCACACACCTACCCACACACCCACACACCTACTCAACTACCCACCAACACACCCACACACCTATCCACACCTACCCACACACCTACCCACACACCCACACACACCCACACACACACCTACACACACCTATACACCTATACACACACCTATACACACACCTATACCCACACACCTACCCACACACCGACACACCGACACACCTACTCAACTACCCACCAACACACCCACACACCTATCCACACCTCGTGTCTCTCTACGTGACTGTCTTTTTCAAGTACGAGTGGGATGGTGTGTCTTGATGAATACCTGTACGGGTAGGAATGCGTTGTCTTTGCCAATTCCTACACTGTACGTGTGGGGCAGTGTGTGGATCTCACCTGTTCACGTGGGGACAGTATGTCTGTCTCAGTTACACGTGGGGACAGTGTGTCTGTCTCAGTTACACGTGGTTCAACGTATCTGTCTCACGGGGAACCAATGGCACCCGATGGTTTCCAGGCAAATGTGTTAAGATACACGTTGGACACATTTTCACTTGTACACCTGGGACACAGTCACGGAGACGCATGGGTCACTCCATGTTTGTTTCTCACGGGTTACGTGTGACACACCGAAACTTTCAGTGGCCTTAGCGGGTACACGTGGCAGGACACCGTTAGTTAAAGGTACACGTTGGGCAATGTCTCACGCATACGTTGAGTACGTAAATAAGTGTCTTGTCTGTCTCAGGTATGCCTGGGACAGTTTCAGGCCTACAGATATGTCCGTGGGACACGGGTCAGTCTTTCTCAGAAACACGTGGGATACTGACATTGTCTGTCTCACAAGATGAACTTTTATGGGTACCCACTACACATCCTTAACAAATACTCCGTACATAGGGGGGTGTATCTTTTAAATTATACACAAGGTAATCGTGTGTATATATATCACAGATTGAGCAACCCGTTATATGTACGATTACATACCTTGTGATTCGGTCTACATAACAAGATGGCCATACATTTAGTTATTTTGAGCTGGTGGTCCGAAATAAGGCCGAGGGCTTTTGTGCATGCCTAGTGCACACCTGTTGTTAAAATTAAAATCGCATATCACAGGTAGAGGTGTGCTACTCGCTCTCAGTATCGCAGAAAGAGGGCTAGGTTAAAGATCTACTCTCCACATTGTACTTTACAGCACAACTTTATTATTAAGTGAGCCTGGAGTTTGGCTATTGCCGAACATTCATAGATTACGGAGCACTGATCCACATTGTTTGGGGCAACACACCTCGCCATCAAAATCTCACGTTTCCACAGAGGCCACATCTTGTTGGATCTGATACACAGTACTGTACCTATTTTTCCACTGCACAACTGAGCCGTGCTGGTGCCGATCCAAGCCCGGTTGTGACTAAGCAGTTTTTTTTATTCCCACTTCAAAACCCAAGCCGTTGCAGCTGAAACATCTACGTGACTTTACCGAAAAAACCAGAGTATGAATCCTTGCAGTCACGAAAGCTTCAAATCCTAGAATTAAGCTTAAACATCGTTCGCATTCATTGAGTCCAGACGAGAGGACCGTAGAAGATGAGGTGATGCCTCCCTCACAGTGTGCTTCAGAGGTCGCAACCGGGTACCCGATACCCGTACCCTACCCGATACCCGGCTACCAGGGTTGCGATTTCCGCATGGAAAATGCGGAAGGAGGGTTCAAATTTTCCCGCATTTTTGCTAAAGTCAACCGCAAACGGTGGAAAGACTACTCCTATGACCGCGCGCTTTTAACAACACGTTAATGCGTTCTATTGGAAAGGATACATGCAAGGCCCAGCATCACGTAGGGCTTTGAGTTACTGATTGGAATGAATATATGATTTCCGCATTTCCGCACAAGAACCACATACTTTATTCAAATGCGGAGCCGTGATTACGAGCACATGTACATGATGTATCCTTTCCAATAGAACGCATTAACGTGTTGTTAAAAGCGCGCGGTCATAGGAGTAGTCTTTCCACCGTTTGCGGTTGACTTTAGCAAAAATGCGGGAAAATTTGAACCCTCCTTCCGCATTTTCCATGCGGAAATCGCAACCCTGCCGGCTACCCGTACCCGGCCAGGTACGGGTATGGGTACCCGTTTGCGACCCTGGTGCGGCCGGGTACGGGTACGGGTAGGCCGTGAGTCACTGGTGAGTAACCGTCTGTCACTCATTTCGGGTAGGGTACGGGTAGCGAACGGGTACCCGTACCCGGCCGGGTACGGGTAAGGGTACCCATTTGCGACCCTGGTGCGGCCGGGTACGGGTACCCATTTGCGACCCTGGTGCGGCCGGGTACGGGTAAGGAATCAAAACCCGTTTGCGACCTCTGCTGTGCTTACACCAACATACGTCACACGTCATCAAAGATCCAATTAGCCCCGAACTATGGCCCTACTTGGTCCCGAGCCAGATATCTTGTGAGGCCAGGGGTTACCACGCTTGGTTTCCAGCTCGGCATCGGAAAATATATTTGTTTGTAAAACCTTTTTCTGAAGATGACCGCTTGTGCTGCGATCGAAACGTCGTAGTTTTTTTGTTATTTTATTTGAACCTATCTACGTGACTTTAACGAAAGACCCAAGAATATATTTGGGAAACAGCAAGTGGAAAAGCGGCCCCATCGTGATGGGAGCCCTGCACGAGTTTGGCTCGGGCGTGGCCAGTGGAAAAAGGGGGTGTGATGGTAAAACCCGGGCCCCTTTCGGATGGGGGCTTCATAACAGTTTGAGGGAGATTTCTTGAAGAGGAAGACACGTGGATCGTTGGAGGTCAGAACAGTGTACTCGCACTGTTGAGATTCTGGATTCTAATCCAGGTTTTAGTTGTGGTTAAGACACTTAGATCGACATGGCATCTCCGATTAGCACGGTTGGCTACGAACGGTGCGAAATAAATTCTACACATTGTGATTAATCTGGGGTCTCAAGTGTAGTGATTTGATGGTCTTGAGCTGGCCACCAATGACTTGCATAGAAACCCATAGACTCGGACGGATGATGCAGAACCATAGACTTGGATAGAGACCCAAAGATTCCCACAGAAACCTGTAGACTCTCAAAAACCC